ATGTTCCCTCTAAGCTGTGGAGTCTCATGAGCAAAAATTCTACTTTGTGAGCTAGTGGCATTAAAGTTGTGAGTGAGCCTCACTGCATAAATTAGTTTGCTCTGGAGCCATCCTTCCTGAGCTAAGACAAAAATGTTTGAGCTGGAGGCTAAAAAACTGTGAGCTAGCTTACTCTCTCAGCTTAGAGGGAACACTGGTCCTGACGGTTACTAGAGTGCATTTCTTAGAATCTTGGAAAGTTGGGGGGGCGCGTGTTAGAGGGCGTAATGAAGGAGAAGGTGGTCAAAGGCTGGAACGTAACTTCTGTATGTTGGGATGCCACTTGTTTGGGGTCCATAGTGGGTGCAGCTGCACCCTTCATGCAATGTTTGTTGGTTTCTTTAAATAAAACATCTGTTTAGGCACTGTAGAAAATGGAATGCCGGATGGATGCCAGGGTCATAGTTTGCATAGTGTGCCAAAATCCCTGGGGCAGCACTGGATAGGTCGCCATACCCAATAAATGTGGTCTTACGGGTCGGAATACCTAAAAGGTTGGGAACGGCTGCTCAATAGAACCGTTAAGAGGCCCTCTTCGAACAAGTGGCACGTATTGAAGAAACTTCCACAGTCACTGAAGTGGATTCTTTTCTTTTTTTGTCAAAGGCTACAATTCCATTCCCTTTAGGCCAAACCCTTCATACTAATGAGACCGCAAACCTACAACAGAATCTTTCTTAATTGTAACATGACTTAGGATGCCTTTGGCAAACCATACTAATTAACAGTACACCGACTTGGGCCACGTCTAGAATTCAGTGCAGGAAAGTCACAAGCCCATCGAAGTATAGCCAGGGCAAGGATTAGGGCAACCTCGGTATTTAGGCACATACCGTACGAGATGGGCAAACACTGGGCTGGACCCAATGAACCACAAGCTCTACTCTGCTCCGAGAACAGGTCGTTCCTGCCTTCACCAGTGCCCCGAGCCCTCCAAATTAGCAGAGGGGGGGGGGGGGGGCTCACAGACAGTGAGAGAGGCTGCAGTGAATAAATCAGCAGAAGTCATCCCCTGCCTGTCAACTGCCTTCAGTCCATGGAAGGGTTTGTTTGGAGCCTATCTATTCAAGGCCTTTGTGCAAACATATCTAGTCAGTATTTAAAACTTAAATGACTTTGTGGATATTTACTGGCTGTTTCCCTTTGGTCTGAAAAGATCTGTGCCTTATGAATAAACAAATGAAATCAAACTCTGCTCCCAGTTACGTTGCTATAAATCCCCCAAATTGCCGTTGACGGCAGCGGAGCTGCTGTTTTATTAAAGGTCTGGAGTTATGCCCTACGTGGTTCCTTCCTTGCAACCTTTGGGTGGGGCTTAAACTAAAGACATAATTGCACAACCTTCTACACACTTAAGAGTGTATCCCACTGAAGGCACCGAGACTTACTCCTGAGCAAATATGAACAGGATCGAGCTGTAAGTTATCTAATGACAATTTGTGAAGCGCCATCAATTTTCCGTTGCTATTTCATCACTTCCTTCATCGCCTGGAATTGCATAAAATTAGCCGTCCATGGGTTGTTTACGAATTTCCATAGCACCGCGAGGCATACAATCCAGACAGCTTGATTTGTACGTACTTACTCTTGTTGCAAATAGAGGAGGGAGGGAAAAAAATATCTTCCAACACATTGCCTATTTATAACGCCTCAAGAAAGGCCTCGGCTGCTAGTTTTCCCCAGTTGCAAAGAGGGGGGCGGGGGGAAAGAGAGAGAGAGAGAGAGAGAGAGAGAGAGAGAGAGAGAGAGAGAGAGAGAGAGAGAGAGATCTCAATTCCGTAATTATTTAATTACTTAGGCTGGCCCTGCCCCAACACAAATCCAAGGGTTGCTTTATGTAGACTCATGTAAATATTAGGGTCCCCAGCTGAGTTGGGAAATACCTGGAGATTTTGGGGTTGGAGCCTGAGGAGGGTGGGGTTTGGGAAGGGGAGGGACTTCAGTAGGGTGTAATGCCATAGAGAGGGAGGAGCTGCCATGGCTCAACTGGTTAAGACGCTGAACTGCAGGCTAGAAGGTTGGTAGTTCAGCAGCTCGAGACCCGAGTGCCGCATGATGGAGTGAGCTCCCGTCTCTGGCCCCAGCTCCTGCCAACCTAACAGTTTGAAAGCAAGAAATTGCTAGTAGATAAGTAGGTACCGCTTCAGTGGGAAGATAACAGCATTCCGTACACCTTGGCGTTTAGTCATGCTGGCCACATGACCACGGAGATGTCTTTGGACAGCGTTGGCTCTTCGACTTGGAAACGGAGATGAACACCACCCCCTAGAGGCAGATTCGACTAGCTTTCGAGCAAGCCTACAATGTGCTCTGTCCTTCTCTGCCCTCTTTTGATGGAACTACATGAGCCATACAGTATGGTGGTGCGATGGTGAGGCAGAGCGCCATCAAGTCACACCAACTTATGGTGACCTCATAGGCAAGAGATGTTCAAAGGTGGTTTGCCATTGCCCGCCTCCTCTACGCAGCAACCCTGAGTTTGCTTAGAAAAGAGCAAGAGTCCAGTAGTACCTTAAAGACTAACAAAACATGTGGCAGGGTATAAGCTTTCGTGAGTCACTGCTCACTTCTTCAGATATAGCAGTTTCCTTGGCCGTCTCCCATCTAAATCCTAGCCAGGGCCAACCGTGCTTAGCTTCTGAGATCTGATGAGATCAGGCTAGCCTACATCATCTGGGTCAGGGTGTCATATAGTACAGACATGCTTAAAAAGAACTGGGACTCAAATCACTGGACTTGCAGTTATTAGTAAAGTTGATTCTTGAAAACTGTAAATAATGAACTTTCTCTGAGGCTTATGCACCTGTGTACATCTGGGCTATGTAACAAAGATCCAACACCTTTCCCCTGCTGCTTTGTGGAAATGACATTAAAAAAACAAATTCATGCCTTCTGAAGAATGGTGTGAACAGTTTTGAGCTTAAAGCCAATACCCAAGATTTTTTGACCCACGGTAGCTATGGGAGACTTCCGGGAGATCGTCACACACCCCATTACTTAATGCATCAAAAGCACAAAGCCAGTAGGTGTAGTTGCTGGGGAGGCTAAGATTCAAATCCCCATTCAGCCACGAAGTTCACTGGCTGGCCTTGGCAAATCACTCCCTCTCAGTGTTAATTTCCTCATGGGATTGCTGTGAAAATATAACTAGCCCCATTGTAAGTTGCCTTGTGCTACTCGGATGAAGGGCGTGCTAAAAACGCAATAAAGACAACAAAATCTATTCCAGAGAGTTCATAGGAGCAGAAGGAACTTGAAGATTATTTAACCTAAATCCAAGGCAGGATCATCTATATTCAAACACGCCCAGCATCTTTGCTCAGATCATATATAGATAATACATCAGAAGCTGGTAAGGTGCAGAGATGCTTGGAAGGAGAAGAGAATGCACACTAACAACAAACCCAGATGGTTTGGTGCGCAGACCACAGGGTTCTATATCCAAATGGAAAGCCAAAAGCTTAAGGTTACCAGTCACAGCTGTAGGGCTATTAGTTTCTAGCTAGAAATCTAATCCTACCCTCCACGCCAAGAGAGCGCACCTAATAAATATCCAGAAGTTCCAGCATAGGTCCCTAACCCCTTTTCAGCCTGCGGGAATGGAGGTGGAGCCAGCCACAAAATGTCTACTGTAGCTAACCTTCAGACACACAGTGAAGATCCTCACACTGTGCTTGGCAGCTGTTGCCAAAGCAACGTTTACACAAATCTGCACAGCCAATCAAATCCTCAACAGCCAGTCAGAACATGGCTCCTCCCACTTTCTAAAAACACTTGCTGGGTGCCAGGAAAGGTATTGGTGGGCGTCATGGTATCTATGGGCACCAAATTTTGGGGACCCCCGCCATATATATGTAATCCTGGCTACTTCTAACCCTTGCAGAAGATGAGGTGGGAGGAGAATCCAACCAAATCTCACATGAACCAACCCAAGTAATTGAAATTCATGTTACGGACAGCTTCAGTGGTTATGTCCACTGTGATGTATCCCCAACGTGGAAGCAAACAGGGAATTCAGAACTGGTGTGGGAAACCAGCTTTCCCTGTCTTGTAAATGGTGTTCTGAACCTTGGGCCTCTTTTTCCAAGAGCCTTTTCCAGAAAGCACTTTCAGGAATAACAAAGAGTCTTGGGAAAAGATCACTATATTCAAATGCTACAGACACGTTTACTTATAAGACAGACAAATTTATCGTGGCATTAGCTTTCATGGACTACTTTGTCAGATGCAAGAAAGTTTATACTACAGTAAATCTGTTAGCCTGTAAGGAGAATTGAAGTCTTTGTTTCAGTGGGCTAATATAGCCACCGGGATGGTATTAGTTACTTTCAGAAAGTCAGTGGAAACAGTACTTTTGGAGAAAGTGTTACAAAACTAAAAAAACAGGCCATCTTTGAAAACAGAGTTCATCTTCTGCGGTGCATTTGGGTAGTTTCCTCTTGTTCCTGAGTCTTGGATCATTTCATTCAATGTATTTCAGATCAGCAGATGCTTTGGCTTCATTGTATAACATTTCCTAAAGGACAAGGATGAAAATTTTCAGCTCAAGCCGAAAACAAAGGATAAAGGGATGGATCCAAAGGATTGTGAGCAGGGCGTCTTCTCATAGAGTGAATCTTTCTTGCCTCTGCCTTCCTCTGCATCCTCCAGTGCTCACTGAAAAGTGGCAGGGGGGGGTCACAAGCCCCCCTCCCCCGGAACAGCGTGGTGTGCAATATGGATCTCTGCAATGGAAAGCAAGAATCTGTGATACTGCCCTCCCCTCTGATGAGGGAAAGTATCCTTCTGCTTGGGAACACTAGAGCCAACCAATGGTCTCTTTCTATACCAAGGTTTCTGGGTTTCTTAAAGCTGTCCTGGTTTGAAACAAAGCAATTTCCATACTGAATGAATTTAGAAGCCCAAAGTCATCAACATCTTTTTAATCAGTTTATAACAAATGGTTTACAAATACGGCATCCAACACTATTCATTTTACACAATTGAAGTGTGCATGGGTATAAATATACATTTTTTAAAAAACTTTTATAATGTATGAAATAAGGTCGGGGGGGGGGAGAATTCTTGGAAAACACTTATTTCCCCCAAAAAGATAAAAAATCAGCTGTCATAATGAAGGGAAAAAAATATTTTAGTTCCTCATTGCCAACATGGCATTGATGTCCCAAATGAGATTCCGTAATTGATCCATAATTTGCTTCAGCTGTTGATTCTTCTGTTTCAGTTTCTGTGGAAAGAAAAAGTTTGTCAACATTGGCTTATTTGCTCGGGTTGTGTGTTCTGAATTTTAATCAGAAAAACTGCAGTGTGCACAGAAGTCTGTTAGCACAGTGCCAGAGAAGCAGATCGTTAATGGAGGATGACCACAATCCAATGTCACAGTGGTTTAGGACACAGTATAGGAACAGAAGACAATGTGGTGTAGTGGTCAGAGTGTTGGTCGAGGATCTGGGAGACTCGGGTTGGAATCCCCTCTCTGCCATGGAAGATCACTGGGTGACCTTGGACAAGTGCTACACTCGCAGCTTAAATTACCTCATGGGGGGGGGGGGTTGCTGTGAGGATAAAATGGAGGAGAACAACATAAGCTGCTTGGGGGGGGGGAACGGAGCGTATAAATGAAGTAAACGAATACTCTCTCGTTTGACGCATCTTTCACTGAAATTTGATCTCCCAATGGCAGACAGCATAATTTCCAATTTGTAGCCACTATGATGCCGCTGTTAATCTCTTGTCTGATCGAGACTACAATTCCGGATTAGTAAACATACCTTGATTCCAGAGGAAAAGACATACTGATGCGAATCTAACATGCTTTAGGCGAGAACGATATTCAAGAATTGGAAAGATTACTAATGGTGGGTGGAGCCACCAGGAAAGAGCCCTGCCAGCTCCCCAAATAGCTTTGCCAATACATCCCGGCCTTGATTTATGGCTGAAACCAGTCCCCTTGAGTGAAAATGCCTCACCGTGTTGAATTCTATTAACTTTCGGGAGGTCCACAAATAAATCTTGGGATAAAAGCAGAAAGCGCCTATATTCAGGCTCCAGTTACCAACACCTTCGCTGATAACACGAACAACTAATACCTGAATTTACTCATTAATACCTGCATTTATCATGTCCAAGCTCAATAGTTTATTACAGAGCGCTTAAACATGTTAACATGTTAAAGCAACCACAC